TCTCTCTCTCTCTCTCTCTCTCTCTCTCTCTCTCTCTCTCTCTCTCTCTCTCTGATTAATTAAAATTTTGTTGAGAAAAATTGTATGAAAATCGAAAAATGAATTCTCTGATATGAATTTTACAGAAAAAATTTATAAAAGTTTAATTTAATATTTTTTTTACATTTTGCATAATTTGCATAATGTAACTGACGGTTCCTATTTTCTGGCGAAAATAGAAGTTGAGTATATCAAGTAAAAGTTGAGTATATCAAAGTTCGCGTGTCTCTATTTCTCTCACTCTCTCTCTAGTTTGCTTGCTATTACCGGCATGCTCCCGTAGATACTTCTCTAGAAGAGATCCCGTCACTTCAGCTAATCATCGATCACCAAAGCGTGTGATTTGGGTAAACGCTTTAAAATTTTTGTGAACAGATGTCTTTGTCTTCGTGGATTTGAAATTTTACAAATAAATTCTATTTATTTACTGAACATTGATGGATATAACTCCATTATAATTGTAAAAAATTAATAAAGTGAAATGAAAAACGTAGAAATATTTTTATTGATTATATTTAATTCGTTAAATTCAATGGTATTGTATAATAGCATTAAATTCATTTGTATTAAAATACAAAATTTTTCTAATTTAAAAAATAAACAGTCACTATTTTTTGTAATTACAGTAATTACTTCTGAGTAATTATTTTTTCTTTCTTCTCTTATTCCACGACTAAGAGATCTGATAAACGATCATTACAATATTCAAAAGCACCGTTCAGAGAGGCACACGTTACAGAATTTCAACTTAAGGTATTACATGATGTCCTATTAAGGATGTAATACATCCATAATAGGAGTGCTCACAAACACGGACACGCACACAACACACATACACAGGCACTTTTACACACAAAATAGCGTACACTTACAAAAGAAGCAGATTATAGTATACTTTTCTTGAAGTCGGAGTAGTTTCTTCTTTAGTAGTAGTCATACGCAAACAATCTCACAAACACTAGAACTACACTCCAGTTCGTTCAATAGATTACTGAAACATATATATCAGTGATTAGTTTAAATTGCTTGCTATTGATATGTATTATTATATAGATCAAGACATAATGAGGGATAAGAAGATTATAAAAAATTGAAAAGGCAACAATAATTTGACGATAAAATATTCGTGTTTCTTTTCTTCTTAAACTAGTTTTATTAATTTCTAAACAATTACAGTTAAGATTAATTGAAATGAGAATAGTATTGGAAACACTAAGGTAAGCAATAATCTTAAGCATGTATATATATATATATATATTATGATTTAAAAATATTTTGATAAAATATATCAAAATGAT